ACATAATCCTCTCAGTACTGTTTTCGCTGAAGGGGTTTTATTTAGTGTTTCATTGTCGCCCTATGAGAAACTATGGTATGTTTCATTGGGGCGAATCCGAGAGACTCATAAAATCCTATGTTTAGGAAAAAGAAGAAAAAAGAACTCTTGATGTCCTTAGTTATTGCATTACCCAATAACTTGCCACTTATCAAAAATTACCGACTTAGCCTTCATCAGACTGGCACATCTAGTTGGCTGATCGGAGGTTAAACTAGGTATCGCTAATAGTCCCTAGAAACCATTATTCAGAAGTATTCAGATATAAATAAATTTGGAATAAAGTATAGTTTTATTAATAAAACTATTCCAAATCCTATCTTTGGCATTTTATTCGGGCCTTTTAATGGCCTTCATCCAAACATCTGATATGTAAAATGGAAAAGGTATCAATTAATAAAACCGTTAAAAACCATTTAGGAAACTTAAGTTCCTTGTGCTACCAAGAGTACGTTTCTATTTTACGTACTGCTTAAGAGTACGTTTATAACATAGAGTCTAATGTGGAGGCCCGGCTATTACACGATATGACTAGATGCATTACATGCACGGCATGCACGGGGTCAGGGGCACAACTCACCCACGGTAGTTCCCTCTCCATAATCGGCCAGCTATGCTCCATCGTACCCGTGGTATCAGTAAAAAGCAGGAAATCGTATATATAATTCTCGGGCATCTGTCTGACTACGTTGATTGATGTCAGGGCGTACCATTGCTTCGTTTTGCTGACAGCCAAAATGAAAGAAACCTTGGAGTTATATATCGCGAAGGGCAATGGGCTGGTCCGGTTACTAATATTGACACTGCGTTAATTAGTTCCTCCCGCATTACTGTCGCACCATCCATCGCTACAGTGGCATCACATAGAGGCATGAATACTTTCTTGATTTCGTGGGCATCCTTGGTGGCCATTGTATACAGAACGGGCACTAATTTTTCAGACAGTTTATGTCTATGTGGGATCAGGTGATTTCTAGGTGCCTTTCGAATCGCATCCAATAAGTCCAAAAATGTCGCGTATTTACGATACGTAAGGCAATGTTATGACGCGCAAAAAACCGCGTAATTGCGAGATCCAGCTCCACTCCGGGCTTAGTGTCCAGTGTGATGTGCGTTGACCGCGGTTAAACGTTCTTAGGGAAGGCTGGCACATCTGAGTTCAAAGCGAATGTGTTCGGCGTACACTTCGCTTCCAATTC